TATGACTTAAAACACTGATATATGACGTATTATAGGACGGGCCTAATATACAACAAGAAGCTTCTAATTTCTACCGCGATACAATGTCGCCACCGTCAACGCGGAGTTCGTGGCTGACTAGGCAGGGCCCTTAAAGAAAGGTATCTTATCGATTCGTATCGCTAGTTATGATTGAAGGAAATGGTAAGTATTAATCGCATTTTAGTGTGTATAGCGTGCTTTAAAAGATAAACGTTCTTTGTACAATCGCAACGAAAAACGGATCATGATCGCATTAAACGTACTGCTAATTGTTCTGTGCTTTGTCCATACCTTCGTCAACGTCGTAAGCTGTCATAACTGTCATGAATTCATTTGTCAAGGTTTGGAGAATGCAGAGCAGTTACAAAAAATGCAGGCAAGAATATATAATTCAAAGTCGGATTCAATTTCTCGAGTATTGCAATCATCGCGATAATCGCACTTAGTGTTCATTTTTATCATCATTCAATCATCTTGTTTTACTTAAAATGTTTGTTTTATTTAAGATATTTTTTTTATGACTTAAAAATTGCCGATTGCTTATATAGGTAGCGTTACAAAAAGGATTATACGTTTCTGGAGAAAAATACTCCTATCTTAATGATCGGAGAATGTGAGATACTAGACGGATTTTTGTGAAATGAACTGAAATCGGCATGAAATACAGCGAATTGATTATATTATTAACTCGAGTTAAAATTTAAAACCTACTGTCTAATTTAACAAATATATGCTTACTTGTTCTTCAATATAATGTTTTTTGTGTGTGGCCTAAATGTTTTCTCTTAAATCTGCCAGTTTTTTCGCAATTCTATTTAATCTTATTTATTTTACTAAAGTTGAATTTAAGCCCTTATTACTGCTGCTAAACTTACAATTCCTATCTTTGATCTCTCCTTTAGTTTACATTCTAAACGTGCAACACCGACGCGGTGTACCGTCAACAGATGGACGCAACGGAATTCTATCTCTCGTAAGTAAAAAATTACACAGATTGGAATAAAAAACGCATTATGAAATTTATCGATATTCTAATAAAACTGTGTCCATAGACAAAAATAATTAATATATAGTTGACAGTACAGTTCTTCAATTTTGCAACAAAAATTCAAAAACTTGAACGATTCCTGAAAATTATTTGTGTAAAAAAAATGTATTAATATAATTATACCTTAAATATTATTAGAAGTATTATACGATTTCCTCTTAGAAGTTATAATACTTTTGTAAAGGTAAAAATGTGAAACAAATAATTCTTGGCGTAGCTAGAATTTTTAAGTGTAATTGGAAGGATGGTTTATCGAGCAAAAGGATGTCTTTCGACGCGTATTTTTGATGGAAATATTTTATATTGTGTTTATGGCACTTATGAGTTACTCTGTGCGAAGCTAGAAATTGGACAAATCATTTTTAAAAATTCGCTCTAGGAACGTTTCAAACTTCATACTATTTCAAACGTTCTAAATCAGCTACATACGAAAAGAACATAAGTTTGTATTGTTGTTTAATCTAAACTATAATAGCTTATATCAAAATCATGCCTATTCTATAGGCAAAATATTCATTTTCATTGTATCTTAAACCATAAAGATAAGATCATTTTACTGATAAAATTTATAATTCAACAAGACGCGGATTTATCTCTGCAATAATAAAAATGAGAAGAATGTAAGTTAAATGGAAAGACAGAAGTAAATGAAAAAGAATTACAATTTGTAATAGTAAAAAAGATCTTTAATTCTTAAAACGCTTTTATCCTACTTTATTCGAGATTACGCTTCCTAGAAGATCTATTATGCTTTTATCAATCTCTCTTTACATTCAACTTACTCTTGAATTTTAATTTTTGCTAGAGGACAATATTACGATAAAATAATAAGATTCATGCATATAGCAAAGCAAATTAAAAAGTACACTAATGAAAGCTGCTATCATTGTTTCCACTTTTTTGTTAAAAGTAAATCCAAACTTTTTTCCACTTTGTTAATAGTAAATATAAATGGGAAAAATTCGATAAAGCCGGTAGCAAGAAAGATCGTAAGTGGAGATGGATCGAATCGTTCGAGATTGAATCTGGTCGCACCGAAAGATTTGGAGACAAAACATTGTCTTCCGGGAAATGGGAACAATCACTGAAAATATTCCTTTGCAATATGAGACTATCACAAGTGCAACTGCACAAATGACGAAATTAAGTTTATTGAGTCAGTCACCTCTTTTAATGTAACGCGAGGACTCGATCTTCGAAACACTATTACTACAATATTAATTAATATTATTTAACTTAAGTATAAGTATTCTAACGCGATCTGGTTTCGCAATCGATATAGAGAATCTGATCGCAGCAACTTAATTATAAGTATATTGTGGGATGTTGATGTGACAAGGACACACCAAGTTGAAATAAAAGCGAAAGGAAGGAGACGTCATAGGTTAGTCTGAATTATAACTGTTGTTATACTGTCGATTAAGAAACAAGTCTGTAAGCAAGTCAGTTTGAATAAAAGTTTATTTTGTAAGTAGTATAGATAGGCGGATTCTAATCCGCGAGCTCCGAGGGAGGAGCGGGGCAGAGGAAGTTTGCGCGAGAGGACGACGTCACAGGAGGCTGGCGTTACAGGGGAGGGGGGCTGACGTCACAGGAAGAATGACGTCACAGGGGGACTGACGTCACAGAGGGACTAACTTACAGAGAAGGGGTTAATTAATTTCTAATTACTTTTTAATTAATTTTCAGATTTAATTAATTAATTATGTACTTTTTTAAATCAATTATACAATTAAATAACAATGTTTAAATATTATTTATTATATATTTAAATTAAATATTTTATTGCTAAAAAATATTTTGAGACATTTTCTGATTATATCGAGCGGGGAGGAGGGGGGGGGGGAATTTTCGCGGGGAATAACATCATTGAGGTAACCGCCGAGAAAATTGTTTACAGGGCGGGGCCCTGGGGGGGGGGATTTTCGTGGACAGCGATCACGCCCCTGCGCCGCGTTCTCGTGCACGCGGTCTCTCTCTCTTTCCCGCGTTCTCGCCCATGCGCTCTCACTCCCGCATCTCCCGCCCATAGCGCGTTCTCGTTCCCCGCGCACGCACGCACGCTGCCTCGTCGCCGCCGCCGTACTTGCTCGTTCCCGCGCACGCGGCCTCCCTCACGCTCTCGCCCATTGCGCGTTGTCTCGCTCATCCCATGGAGATTTTAGAAAAGAATGTATGTACAATAGTATATTTATGAATACGTAGACCAATATATATATTATAAACTCAAAATATAGTGATTACAAAAATGAAATATATGAGAATGTATCACCAGGAAGATATATATTGTTGCAAAACTATGTAAAAAAAAAGGGGTATGTTTGCAGTGTCAAAAAATGAAATTCGACGCGATACAGCTGGCTCGGGGACACCCTGTGCTCTTTTCTCGGCGTCGACAAGATTTGTGTGTGAGTGTGTGTGTTCGGTTTACTTCCTATATAATAGTAGTATAAGTAGTATTCTTATACACATTGGTATTCTTACTAATGGAAAGGATGGGAAAAAATAATCGTATAAAGATGGAGTAAAAAGATACGTTATTTATTCGTCATTATTCGACGTATCAATAATATTCAGAGTACATATAGAAAAGATACATATAAAAATTATTTGTTGTGAAACGCGTCGCGTACAATAGCATTCAGAGCGTACGCCACCAATTCGCACTCGACGCTTGAACTCTTGTCGCACATTTTTCGCAGAATATTCGCCGCGTTGTATCTATTCGTAATGCAATTCTGTCGCAGGAAAGATACGAATGCGTTGTACCGATTATCAACGGTAATTATAGTTTGCCGCAAGTCGATGTATGTTCTCGACACAATACTCGAGTTCGAGTGTGAACAGCACTCTGTGTATCATTCGATGTATACACACTTACATATAATATATACACATATGTACATTACACCGGTATCCGACAATGTCCCCACGGTAGTGTCTCCGTCGAATTCGGTACGATGTATCGTTTGTCGTCGTACGGACTCAGAGCAATTTTCGATTCGGACACCGTGTATACCTCGTGCAGCCTCGATCGTATACACGACTGACTACGAGTCATTTCGATATGTTTGTTCAGGCATCGA